CATCAAAAAGATTAATAAATAAAACAAGTTTTCTTACAACATAAGATTTATTTCAACTGACAGTCATATTGGACTGGTACAGCATTAATAAATAGGCCTAAATAATATGTCAACAGAACAGGACATGTTAGTTGTGTACACTACACTGTAAAAGATAATAAATAAATAGCAAGTCTACAGAACACACTATGCAACATAAACCCCACTATATGCGTTTTCTTTGACCGAATAGCTATCTGATCGTGAAAAGACCAGGTGTAAATGCCCTGTGAAACGCATTTGTGACGTATTTGAATCTAATCGCTTAAACCACTTCAGGAGGCGGTCTAGGCCGCATTTGAAACTGGACAAATGTAAATGCATCTCGTTATTGAATAAACCACATATGTAAAATGTACTCCTTCCAAAAACGCTAAAAATGAGAACGTTACAGGCTTGTCATGTTATGGCCAGATATGACGACGCGCGCGACTGCAACACGCATCACCGCAGATGAGCAGCTGTTGAACATTTCCTTTTCATCAAGCCAACGCGCAAACTATCGCAAATCAAAGTGAAAGTAAGTCGCAGACGCTTTTCACAGTTATCTTCATTAAAAGTAAATAAACGAACTGATCTTATTTTACCTGATGATCATCATAAACAAATCATAAATCATAACGCATCATAAACAAAATGTTGCATAAATATCGCGACACTTTCGACATGGATATCGAGCAACGTGATATCGCGATAACGATATTGATTCGATATATATTGTGCACCCCTAATACAGACGTGTTTTATATATCATTTTAATAAAAATGACATCACATAATAACCCATATGGCACTGTCAGTGAGTTTATTCGCCCATATGTATACACATAAAACATGAAATCAGTTTTAAAATCAAACATTTTACCTTTACGGGCGAAACGTGTCATGAGCAGTCTATGGTATGAGCTCCGGTCCACATGTAAATATGTGTCGAACAGACTGCAGTTTATCAGTTTGAGGCAGAATCAGACCGAGAAAGCCGCGATGAAGAGAGTCAAACAGAACCTCACCACACACGGCTCTTACTAAAAATTTCTGAATGATAATTTGCTACGTTTTTTAACTTTATACACGTTTGTTTTACACATTAGCATCTGACTGTCTGGCAACACTAGCAACTGACTGGCTACTAATGTTAAACACACACAGCGTTGGCAAGTTTACGTTCTTGATCAAATCGAAAATAACGTCATAAAACATATACATGAAAAATACATTTACAACATTAGTACTTATACAAAATTCAGGTCCATAATGTTTGTACGCGTTGTCGTAGACACAAAATAGCATAACTAGTAGCGTAGTGGCTATAAATCCAGCGCTGGCATTTGAAAAAAAATAAAACACAAGGCTACGTCTTGAATTATACATGCAAATACATTTAAAATGATTAAGTCTTAGCCTACTTACAGGTTGTGGCCCAACAACTGCTGCCTCTTTAAATTTGGAACTGCTTGATGTTTTAGTAACAGTTTCTTGCTGAATCCGGCATTGAACTCGTGGAGATTCTGGAAGCTGTCTTCCGTAAAATGCGGAGCACAGAGAGCTAGATTACGATCGTCATTTTCTGGAACTTAATCAAACATAAATTGTATCCATTGTTGACGAAGTACAGCGTCCGTGGGAAGCCAAACACAGAAGACCTGACAGCTGGGTGAACACAACACACTCGACGTGCCGCACAAATATGCGCATGCCCTTTTCTGCATATTCCGGAGGGAGGGTTGATGCAAATGTGTGGGTTAGTGACGTACCATAAGTCAAGTCAAGTCACATTTATTTATAGCGCTTTTCACAATACAGATTGTATCAAAGCAGCTTCACAGTGATAACATGTAAGTAGCACAACACAGATCACTAACATTGCTAAACACTATATAACCCCAACTGAGCAAGCTCAAAGCAAGCCAAAAGCAAGGCGACAGTGGCAAGGAACCAAACTCCATCAGATTGGATGGAGAAAAAACCTTGGGAGAACCCAGGCTCAGTCGGGGGCCAGTTCTCCTCTGGCTTACATTCATATTGTTTAAATATAAATATTAAATATAAATATTGTTTATGAATCAAACGGCGCCATAACATAACCCAGCTGTAGTCCCAATCGAGTCGTTTTTGTAGGCAATATACTTCCTGATTTTTAAAAGACGATATCTCTGCCTACACTAAACTTTCAGCGCTGCAGCTTTGCAGATACTGTTCATGCACCAACAGCAACATTACACACTATTTAAAATGAAAAAAATGAAACCCCCTTATAAAATGAATTCCAGCACAGTGCTATACTTAAATTACCCTTCACAATAGATAATTCCAGGTGTCGGCGGCTTTACATTGTGGCTCCTTCCACCGTCGACTGTCATCCCATTAAGTCATTCATCCCATCTGCTCCTCCCCAGTCGTCGTCCTCTGGCAGTCTGTCCTTCCCTACTCCTTTTATCATCCCTGCGTTATCTCCTCATGCGGCTCCAAAGCCCTGACCATCCCTCTCTCTCAATAAGAACTGTATGGACTGTAATCTATCTGTTCGTTTTGAATCATTGCGGTTCAATAGCTATTACTGTTTCTTCGACTTGTGGGGAATTGGATTTACCTCTATTTATCACATTAAGCTTACCTCTATCACTTTCACTGCAAAGCTCAGCTAGTCCTCCAGCCCTGCCACTGCTGGATGCCTGTGGCCCTTCGTCTTCCCTAGGAATGTTTTGCTATGAATTGAATCCTCAGGCCATGCAACCACCAGCCTTGCCCGAGTTAGAGGATCCTGTGGATCGACCTCCGATCCCTTCGCTCTACCTCGGACTGTCGACCTATCGGCTCAACCTTGGCTCCACCAGAGATTCGCGACCTTGCGGCTCCACCGGGTTCAATCATCCCACCGGCTCCCCTTGGTCAGTCATCACTCTACTTTCGCCACAAATTTGCGAGCCTTTAGCTGCACTCAGTCCGTCTTCACCTATACAGTAACTATGACTGTTACAGGGCCCCTATAGAGTAACTATGACTGTTACAGGGCCCGGGTGCCTCCTTGTGGCGACCACTGGGGAGGGTGGTTTCCACCCGAGTTAAGATCCGGGCCCACTCCGCACAGGCTAGCCGGATTTTCTACTGGTTTCGTCAAAGAATAATTGAAACAAATTTTCTGGTCCCTCTGGAATCCAGGGCAACAGTAGAAGTGGAAATGCTAAGGAAGCTGACCATGATTTATGACTGTCTTGACTGTGCCAGATCCTTTCCATCGGCGAGAAGTCTGGGAATGCACAGGCACCACCAACATGCCTCAGAAGTGAACCTTTAAAGGAGCAATGTAATGCCCTTCAGCACAAAAGGAAAGGATGGACAGAGATGCAGGACTCTGAAGTGTGAAAACTTGCAGACTCTCTGTGGGAAGAGGGGATCATGAAGAAAGATCTATTATCTCTCCTCCAGGGAAATTTTCAACATCATTCCATTGAAGCTCTGAAAAAGAGACTTTAAATCATCAAATGGGACCTGCAGAGATCTAACATAGAGCCAAGCCAGAACATCCCAATTGATACAGATACACAAACAGATCTATTATCACAGCCCCGATCATTAAATCTGAGGGCTTGGACTGAGGAGGAAGATATTAAGCTGTACTCTAGAGCGGATGATGCTGTACTCTAGAGCGGAGATGACCAAAAAAAATAACTGACAGACAGTTTATGTCTAACTATGGCTGAAAGATCAGCGGAAGCTATTTGGAAAAGCCTATCAGAGTGGAGGTGGAAGCTTGGTGTTGGTGGCCAGAGGGGACACCCATCCACGACTTTAGATGCTCATCCACAGATGTCTCTCTGTGGCCACCATCGCCGCCATCGACTGACCGATTACGGCAGCGGCTTGGTGGCCCGGAGAGCAAGATCTGTGGTACAGCGCAGCTCAGCCACCACCCTTCAGGAGACATTCCTGCCTCCTGGTTGAGATCCCCCAGCAGGTCGGCCTGGTATGCCTGCAGCACCACCATGGTGTGAAGGGCAGCAGCGGCCTGACATGCGCCGTTGTTTTCATCGGTTTGAATGGCAGGGTTGGCTTCGTAATTTACAGTGTAATGGAGAGTAAAACAAAGGCAGAACACCATATAATCTGATGGGTATCATTATTTGATAGAACCAGCACAGTAACTTCATATTGACGCGCGGCTAAACAAGGGTAGAGTGCCGTAACTCAATATATGAGCTTTCCAAAACAAAGCCAAAGAGCCGTAACTGCTGTTACAGTGTTCTGCCTTTGTTTCTCATCGGCTGTGGGAAGTTACGGTTAAGACAACCCATTATTGTCTTGAAAAAACAACGGAGTTGCCTCAAGATACTCCACATGTTAAAGGAGGTCTTGAATGAGCCAAAAAACTCATTTTCGACCAAAAACGAAGTTGCGGTCTTTTGCCTTTGCAAGGCAGTGTAGTATATTGAATGTCTGTAATTAATTGGAAAAACAGCTCCGAGGATTTATCATATCACAGAAGCTATGCATTCAACACTATCTCACGACCAATTCGTACGAATTTGACGCATGATTAAAAAGTGTCTAATTCATACTAATTCGTACGACCTCACTCGTACTAATTCGTAAGATTTGTCTAAACCCACGTGATGGTTAGGTTTAGGGGCGGGGTCAGGGGTAGGTCATTCGTACGAATTCATACGAATTGGCCAATTCGTAAAATATGTACGATTTAGCAAAATCGTATTAATTCGAACGAGTGAGGTCGTATGAATTGTTACTAATTAGCCACTTTTTAATTATTCGTCGAATTCATACGACTTGGTCGTGAGATCGGGTTGGAACTGTTGCAGTTAATGGTTAGATAATGATAGAACATTGAAACTTCATTACCTTTTTGAAATAATCCATTAAATAATTTTGATGAGCTTGCACTAATATTTTTTGTTCCACTTGTTGGTGCGTTGTCTTAAGGACAGGCCCACAATAGGGGACAACTCATGAATATTCATTATTTACTCCATTGAACAGTTTTTCATAATAACTGAATATTACAGAACACTTAAGGAACTTTAATCAATTTATAGATGAGGATACATGCACGGCCGAGTGTCGTATGCACTCAATTTCCAATGAAAGCCATCACATCATGTCTAAAATCATAATGTCATACCATAATGAATCAGGATAAGACAAAAAGATTGATGATGGACTCATTATTTCAACTTTGTTCATTTTGAACAGAAAAAAAAACCTTTGTGTGTCTTTCAGTCAGTTTTGTGCAAATATAATGTCCTCTCATTTCCTTAATATAAATAGAACCTGAATGTTAATTAGAATTCAAAGGAAATTTATGTTGTTGTTATTATTATTACATGTTTATTTAAATGTAAAAATCCAGAACCAACACACTAAAAACACGAACACACACAGAAAGAATTTCTCAAATTAAAGGTGCATAAACTACATAATTATTTTGAAGCAGGTGGCACTAATACAGTAGAAAAATATTTTGTTCTATATGCAAATGCAAAATAACAACAAAACAATGCAGTAGATGCATTACAATAAAAAACAAAACAAAAAAATCAATGGTGTCCTGTTGTAATGTTTGTAATTGAAAGTAACAAATTAATCAAACTATGTACAAATATAACTTCTATTCCTTCTACAATTGTCATTTCTTGCTGTCCATCATTCATCTCTCCTACAATCATTGTCTTCATTTAAGGCATCATGCTGTCTCCAAAACACTGCTGTTAATTTCTACATTTCTCAAGCAGTAAAGCTTGTTTTCAGCCTTTAAAAGTATACAAAAGTGCTGCTGCTACTAGACAAAATGCCATGCTAATACAATCTTTTTTAATATAAGCATATGCCATTTAGCTGCCTCAGTGCAAATATAGAAACTCCATTGAGATGTTGATTGCTGACATAATGGTTCAGATTCCTGGAGAGGCAGAAACATAAGGTTTTTAAGGGTTTATCATTCTTGAATTTGTTTATCTAGTGTCTGAAATTGTTCATATGACCTTTAAGACCCAGTAATAAAAAGCACAAAGCGCCATTAAAATAGTGTAATTTAACTACCTTTAAATGATGTCAGGCCATTAGCTTCTGCCGCTGGTGAGTCTTCATCTTCAAGAGAACAATTATGACAGTCATTTGTGATAACGGATTTCTAAGATTGTGCATGTATTCTTCAATAACATTATTATACTCCTGCATTTTGTGTAAACTATTAAAAATAAAGGTTATTTTTTGGCATTGGGAAAACTTGATTTGGCATTATCCAAAATGAATTTGGCATTATTCATTCCATGAATATCTTTTTAAACATCAGTGGAACCTCTGAAAGTTCTTTCAATAGCAAAAATGGCTCTTTTAAGATCTCCGTGAAAAAGCCTCCTTTGGAACCTTTATTTTTACAAATGTAATGTAAAAAGAATGTGTTGGCAAAACAATGGGAAATTGGTGCAGAAGTTTACATCAATCTTTGTGATTTATGAAAAAATTGAATAAAATTATGTTGAGGAAGTTGATTGCTCCAAAAATTAAGTTGCCCCTACTAATTGAGAAATGCAGTTACACACAATATTAAGTTAATGTAATGATCAACATTATTATGTCAACAGAACTTAAAACGTTTAACTAAATCAATATTTTTTTTTTTACTTTTAAGGTCCCCTGAATTACATTTTAGAGTGTACTAAAATTGAAAGGATTGTTTATGTTATGATATGGATGTTATGGTTCACATTGGTAGATGTTTGTAAGGTATCTTACCTTTAATCACACCATCCACATGAACGTCTGAAACACGATCAGTGAGCAGTTCTTTTTCCTCACATTCTGAATGATATTAGAAAGAGTGTAGTGATTTAGTTTTAGAATCCAAAATCATAATTCAATTAATTGTAATACTAGAAAATTCAATCAAAACAGCAGAAAGATTTACTTGTTGATTCACTATAGTTTTTCATATACTGTTATCACAAAGGCTTGGAATATGAAATAGTACCATAAGTGAATGAGTACATGTGTTTTAGATTGTAATGTCAGCCAGACACAGTTAAAGGTGCATACCTTCCATCTCTGTGGGACTGTTGTACCCCTTGTACTCCTCCATGGGTAAAGCCGTTTCTGCAGAGTGATTAAAGACCCATAAAAAATTAAATCTGGATACATTTTACATTCACACACACACACACACATCTTGCTTTTTCATGTTCCCTTTTGAGGGAACTCATGCTGCGTCAAATGACGACACTTTAGGGAACGCCCTTGACGTGCATGTGTCTGAAGCAATTGTGAAATTGAAAGTGAAAAGTGAAAGTGAAAATGGCGAGTGGTCAAGAGGTGTGTGCATTCTTGTCCCAGATACATCACAGGCAGGGACACACACAACCTTTCGATTTTTCTCTGCTGGTCATCTGCTTCAGGGTACCGAAAACGATACCCTGAAGTATCATTTTTTGTGGCACATATATTGCCTGCAGATGTTGGCGGTTTACAGAGTTCTGAGGAGCTTCCTTCCACACCTCAAGGACCACCACGTCCTGATTCGGATAGACAATATGTCGGTGGTGACCTATATAACTTGCCAGGGAGGTCTGAGATCGCACTTCTTTGCATCAGATCCTCCTTTGGTCTCAAGGGAAATTGTTGTCCCTCAAAGAAATGTATATCCCCAGAGACCAGAATTCAGGAGCAGACATCCTGTCGAGGCAAGGGCTGAGGCCTGGGGAATGGAGACTCCACCTCAAGATGGTGGAGTCGTAATGGGAGAGATTCGGCCCAGCGGAAGGGGATCTAATCACATCTCAAGAGACAACCCACTGTCCTCTGTGGTTCTCCTTCTCCATTGCTCTGCTCTTGGGGGTTCTATAGAGGGGTCATTGGTAAAGGGTCAGTCAGCCCTTATAGCCCTATACTGGCCAACTCGAGTATGGTTCTCGGACATTATATCACTCCTGGCAGGCAGAGAGCTTCCCCTCAGGAGGGACCGGCTTTCTCAGGTCAGGGGCACAATATATCACCCCTGACCAGAGTTATGGAAACTGTGGGTTTGGCCCCTGAGGGATTCAGTACCTAGAGACTGGTCTTTCAGCTGGAGTGGACGAGACTATACTCAACTCTATGGCCTGAATTGAAATCTCCTCTTGGTGTAAAGAGCATGGGTTGGACCCACTTGAGTTGGGTTGCCCTCCAAGAGGTTAGATGTCCATGGTTAGATGTCCATCACTTACCCTGTACACACCTAAGGTGTACGTGGCAACAATTGCGGCTTTCCTCACTCATGTAAGTGATGGATCACTGGGGAGACACCAGTTGGTTGTACGGTACTTTGTGATGGCTTTCCTACTGGCTATAACATCCATTTAAATGGTTGGGGATCTTCAAGCCCTGTTTATTTATCCTCCCTGTTGCTCCAGGGAGGGTGAAAGCTATCTTGAATCATGAAGTGTGGCATGGGTTACGATTCTACAGGCATTCCACCGCAAGTGTCGGCGGAACAAGAGTGACTTAATTTACTCTTCGCTGTGCGAGCTTTAGAGATTTATTTTTAGAGGTCTTCTCGATGGAGGAAGTCAGACCAATTGTTCATTGGGTCACCCAGGAAAGAATCCATGGGCTCCAAAAAAAACAACCAGTCTCTGGATTTTTCAGGCATCTTCTTTGGCCTACCAGGTGCGTGGTATACCTTCACCTCTGGCCATAAGGGCTCATTCTACTGGAAGCATGGTGTCTTCTAAGACCTTCTCTCTGGAGTTTCCCTGCAAGGAATATGTGATGCTGCAGGCTGGGATACCCTGCATTCTTTTATAAGATTTTACAGTCTGCACCTTCCTTATATGCTGGACTCATAGGTGCTCTCGTCCTAAGCTTTGCCTAGACAGCTTCACACTAGAACAGGCAGAAGTCGGTGTGGCCTAGAGGGTATTTCATTCCCCAAAGTGTCACCATACAACACAGTCCGAGTTCCTTCAAAAGGGAACATCTCGGGTAACGACTGTATCCCTTGTTCCCTGAGAAGGGAACAAGATGCTAAGTCTCCTTGCCACACCTCTGTATGCCTGAGAGCAACTTACTTCGACATGTAAGAAGCTAACTCTATTGAGTGGTGGCATCTTTTTATAACATTCTGCAGGGGCATGCTACGTCATGATCAAGATTGGGCTAGTTTCACATGTGCTTTAGACGCTTGCACGCAGAGTCGTGTTCCCTTCTCAAGGAACAAGGGTTACAGTTGTAATCAGAGATGTTTTATGAGGACTTTCCATAAACATTTTGGTTTTTATACTGAACAAACACACACACACACACACACGTCATGTCTTCCTGTTTTATGGTCACTTTCCATAGACATAATGATTTAGGGACCAAAAATGTCCCCAAAAGGTCGGAAATTTCAGGTATTACTATACTTGTGGTAACATTTGGTCCTCATAACTTACGGTTCTTGGAGTCTGCCATTGAGAAAAATAGGTCCTCTGGCACGGTTTCTTTTTTCTCTAAAGATAATGATAAGAAACAAAAGTTTTGAGTTGAACACACAACTCGCACTATTTATTCTACCAATGGGCATGGAATAGCGCATAATTACTGTATGCAAACTGGGATGCACCGTCAGTCTTGGTGAGCATAAGAGACTTCTTTAAAAAACATTTACAAATCTTGCCAAACACACTTCTGAATGGTAGATTATGAAAACAAACTCAAAATGGCTGAATCCAAGTCAGTGGCTTACGTTTTGAATAGCAATTTAACATTTTTAGGCAGCAGCTATTTACACTAAGCGTACTAGAGGGTAAATAGCGTTTACACTGAGTGTAAATAATAGTAAACACTTTTTAACCCAACTGCAAATATCAACAAATGGAATCCAGTCTACACTTCATCCATTGATACATACTATTCAAAGAAAGTGGAAATAGAAGTTGTACTGCATTATTTGAAGTAAGTCTGAGCAATGGGCGACACATGGCTGGTTGTTGGTGCGTAGTGTAAATAGACACTGCTTGTTTTTTTAATGATTAGACCAGTATCATTAATTAAGATGCTTATTTTCAGAAGTATACTAATTGGTTTCTGTTTGTACCTGGTTTACGGGTGATTCTTAGAACGAGGCATCCAATGATCAGGATTACAATACAGCAGACAACACATCCTGAGATGGCCAGCAGAATTTTTCTTTTTAATACTGTAATTATGAGGGAAGTCAATCAAGTTAAATGTCTATCATGGTAACAGAATACTTATCTCACTGTTTTTCCCCTACATTTTTACTCTAAATGTATGATCTTGAAAATCTTGATGATAACTTGACATAGTTCCAATTCACAAATCATACACATCTATTGTATGAAAGAAGTTTAAAAATAAATATTTGAATTACTCACTAATATTATTGGCCGTGAAGCCCTCACTCAGAGCGGAGTACAGTGGTCTCTCTGTCCTTATTCCCTTGCACTTGAATTCACTTTTAATGTTTTTTTCAGTTGCTGCCACTTTGAACACATCTGACGACTCATTGAGCCTCTGTTCGTTCTCGAACCAGGCGTAGCTCCACTGTCTGCCGTCTGAGACGTTACACCTGAGGGTCAGGATATTCCCAGCCATGATGTCGCTCAATTCGGTCTCCATATTTAGAACTGCAGGTGGACGAGCTTAGAACAAAACAAAATGTTGCTTTAGAAATACTATGTTATAAAATATGTCATACTGAGCCTTTTTTTTACTTTATTGCCTTTGCTTATACAATGAAATTCTGATGGAGAAATCTGATTTGCCTCATTAAATATATATATATATATATATATATATATATATATATTGGTAACACTTTACAATACGAGTACACTAATAAGCATTAATTCTAATGCACAGATAATACTGAATTAATGTGTAACTAATGATTATGTAAACTATTCATTAACGATTACCACATTAGGAACTAATTAAGGGCCTGTAGGGTTAATGTATTAGTTCATACATGAATTGTTATTAATTAAATATGTAATTGTGGATTAATTCCATAATAATTCATTTTTTAACAAATAGTGTTAATTAATATGTTAATTACCAGAATGAGCCAAAGCCTTGTATTTCAACTTCCAGATAATATGACAGGTACACTAATATGCATACATGATTAATTACTTAATTGTTAGTGCAAATTCATGTGCAAATTACTACCATTGCCAAATGACTAGTTAATAATGATGTGCCCCAACAAGTAAAGTCATAACATAATGATACCATTGCAAATCATTAGCTAATGATTACTTAAAGCAGACAACTGGAAGTTGAAGTGCATAGCTTTGACTAATTGTGGTAATTAACACATTAATTTACACTATTACTTAATAAAATATGTTATTCAGAAATCAATACACAATGACACACTGAATTAATAGCAATATGTGTATTACTTAATCTATTAACCATATAGACTCTTTATTAGTTGCTGATGCAGTAATCATTAATTAATGGTTTAGTTCTTCATGAGTCATATATTAACTCATGATTATCTGTACATTAGTTAAGTATGAATTAATGTATATTAGTGCACCCGTATTGTAAAGTGTTACCAATATTTTTTTTTTACATTTTACATTAAAGGTGCTATATTTATTTTTAGCGGCCTCTATCTGTGATATTTCAGATTGCAACCATTTTTTACAAGAGCGCTCGTGCTCTTGCGCTTGCTCGAACACAAGAGTGAGCTGAGCACTCATGGTACACGGCCACACTGAGACTTAACACACCAGAGAAAGCATCACACAGCATGCTGGAAACTCATGTAAACTCCCACTACAACGTTACAATAATAGGCTACTTTTATCAGCTTGACGTTGAACTAACTAACTTACCTTCAACTTGTACTTGAAACGACTCACTGTTCACTGGGAAGTCTCCTCTCTTTGCTGTGCAGTGATAGTCACCAGTGTCAGAGAGAGATAATACGTTGATAGTGAAGGTTGGATCTCTGGACCAATGTTTTGAGCCTTTATACCAGTCATACTGCCAACCATCACCAGACATGTTACAACCAAGCTGGATTTTCTCCCCAGTGTAGAAGGAATCAAACCACTCATCTTTTCTAATGTCTGGTTTTGGTGTGTTATCTAGGAGCAACAGAGGATACAAAAAAGAACAGAAATAATGGACCACTTGCAATCGATAACTGCTTTGAGTGTGTTTGTTATTCTAGGTGATCTGAGAACATGAACTGAATTTCCAACTGAAATTCACGTTCCCCTCTAAAGTACAACGGTTCAAGAGTAAAGAAGTTTATTTGTTTATAGTACATAAAGGCATAGTTTATACAGAAATGAAAAATCTGTCATTGTTTACTCACCCTCATGTCATTCCAAACCTGTAAGACTTCAGAACACAAATTAAGATATATTTTGATTTTATGTTTTGTCCCTCCATTGACAGCTATGCAACTACCACATTCAAGGTCCAGCAACTTAGTGAAGACATACAGTAAAGACATTAAAGTAATCCATGTAATTCAATTTAACCTCAATTTTATGAAGCGGTACAAGTGTTGACTCATGATTATGTAGGCTCTTGCGCGAACACATGCTGGAGATTAATATTTTGTGAATAAAGTGGTAAATTATGTTGTCGTTTTTTGCAAACAAAACACTTGCATGCTTTAAAAAACTGGAGTCACATGGATTTTTTTAATGATGGCTTTACTACCTTGACAAAATGAACCAAAATTAAAGTCTTATGGGTTTAGAATGACATGAGGGTGAGTAATTAATTAATGACATAATTTTCATGTTTGGGTGAACTATCTGTTTAATTAAAATTCTTTAGAATCAGCATAAATTTCTTAACTCTATAAATTGTATAAAAATATGGCAATGGCAATGGCAAAATAATGGCATGAGTAAACAGGGTTTTAATATGGCTTTTGAATAAGCAAGATTCAATGATAAATATATAAACCTGGTCATGTATTTTAAACATTTGGTTGATTAGAACTATTGCACAAAGCACAGTATTTCTTTGTTTCGTTCGTGTATAACTGACACATGCATCACTTTAAGTGTGTTAGTTTGTGTAAAGCTGTGTAATCCATAGACTTACATTATTGTTTGAGTGAATAGAAAGCCTAACAAAATCCTCATTGACCCCTTTAAGGCACCCGACTATCTGAATTCCTTTGTTAATTTATGACTTTTATATTTTCATTTCCAGGTTTTTCTCTTCAAGTAGCCTATACAATCTCGATTTTTTTTTTCATTGAGATGCTATTTTCAAATTTGGACATTGCTAATAGTGTCTGACCTCTGAAACTATTTATCATGAGTAGACAGGAAACAGCAAATTCTGATCATTGAGTGTCTGACCTCTGAAACTATGTCATAAGTAGACAGGAAACAGCAAATTCTGATATGAACCACTGTACATTGATACAGGCCAATCCAAATCTTAAACATCCTAAAATGTAAACTGTTTTCAACATATATCGGTTATAGAATGTTTTTTTTTTTTTCTGAAGCAATTTTACTTGCCATGGATATGAAGTTTCAAAGCGTCTGCTTGTTTTGTAGTCACTGGCGTTCTCTTCAGATGTTTTCCTCTGCAGGAATACTGTCCTGATTGACTCGCTTTTGCTGAGCTGATTGAGAGTGTGTTTCCGGAAAAGGAAAAGTCCTTGTTAGCTGACAGCGGAGTTCCATCTTTAAACCATTCATAGGCCCATTCATTTGAGTCTCCATCAATTGAACACTTCAGAGTCACTTTTTCATTTGGATAAAAATTTTTCCATTGAGAACCTATTGACAGTTTTGGTTGGGGCGGCTCTGCACAGATAAACAACACAATAATGTAAGAGAACTGGACATTTTATTTTTGACATATTGTATTATGCTTTGATGTATAAAACATTTCAATCTTACCTCTTATATTCAGTTTTGTGGAATTTACAAATGTCATCTCTCTCCTTGTTATGTTGCAAGTGTATTCCCCATGATGATCAAGTGTAGCATTACGGATAGTGTGAGAATCTTGATTGTTCACTTGCACTGAATCTTTTTGCCACTTAAATTCCCATTTTGATGTCTTCTGTTTTATACTACAAGTGAGTTCGACTCGTTCCCCGGTGTAGATTTCTTGGTATGATGGATCTTGCTTCAAAAGGACAGTTGGCTTTGATCCTTTAGAATTATTTAAAAAATATTTATATTTATAAAATAATGCATAATTGTTTTTATACATAAAATACAATGTATATTATATTTTATAATTATCCTTTATAACTATAAAATAATTTAGAGACAAAAAATAAATGTAGATTTATGCATTTTTATAATTTTAATTGAAGCCCCTTGGAAATGTTCCTAAATTGAGGCTGGCAATAAACCAGCACCAAAAGTCAATAGAAAATAATTGCAAGACACACAAGATATACATTATAACATAAGCCTGATACTATGAATTATGAAAAACTAAAGAGCTGTGTTCTGAAACCATAAATAAGTAAAATGGCTGTATTTCACAACTTAACTAAGTATATAATACAATTATAAATATAACTTAGTCAGGACATGCTGCTTTTAGCTAAACTGACAACAGATGTTTATGTGACAAAACTTACCATGAACTGTTAACAAATGTGTTTTGCTTTTTGCTGTTTTCACCGTCCTGTCCTTCAGTTCAGCTTGACACGCATACTGCCCTTCATGACTGGACTTTACTGAGAGAGTGAGAGTGTTGTCTTTTATGATTGTTTCATCAGTGGGGTCTATTTTTTCGGAGCCTTGGTACCACATATACATCCAGTTTTCGGATTTAGGAATCACACACTGCAAAGACACTTTTTCACCAGGAAACGCTTCTGTCCAGTCTGATGTGACTTGTGCTTCAGGTAGATCTAAAGAGACAAAAACCAACCAAACTGTGTAAGGTGAATGTGTTCATACAGATCCTAATGCTAGCACTAAGTCTAATGAGCGACAAAGTTAATTTTGGTATAGCTTAACCGTTTCTTTTTTTTTATGAAATCAATTAGGCTACAATACTTTAACTCTCTTGACTCCATGTCATTTCATTTAAATTTGAACATTGACAGACGCTTTCCATCTAAAGAGGGTCTACATTTAATCACACCGTACATTTCCTGGGAACTTTACTGAGGCATTGCAAACTCAATGAATGTACAATGAGAAGAATATTCCACAATAGAAATGACTATGAAGAGTTACATTAGGACTCACCTTCAACTCGCACTTGTAGAGTCTCACTATTCACTGAGAAGTCTCCTCTCTTTGCTGTGCAGTGATAGTCACCAGTGTCAGAGGGAGATGATGAGTTGATAGTAAAAATTGGATCTGTGATCAAGTGTTTTGAGCCTTTATACCAGTCATACTTCCATCCATCACCAGGCATGTTACAATCAAGCTGGATTTTCTCCCCAGTGTAGAAGGGCTCAAACCACTGATCTTTTCTGATGTCTGGTTTTGGTGTGTTATCTAAGAATCACAGGGGTAGAATTAGTAATGATGAACTCTCTTCAAACTATAAATGCTTTGGGTTGCATATGCTTGCTATTATTTATAATTCAAGACTAAACGAATTGACTCATACTGCTAATATTGTCTGGCCACTCTCAAATATTCACATGAACCACTGTACACCATTACAGGCCAATGCAAATGAAAATTAGCATAATATAAACAGCTTCATCATTGAGCTCTTTTGGGTGCTTGCCAATTTCATTAATATCAATTAATCAAAGAATATCATAAGTAGTTTTACCATAAATTTGAAGTTGTAAAGCTTCTGTTTGTCTTGTAGTCACTGGCGTTCTCTTCTGATGTTTTCCTCTGCATGAATACTGTCCTGCATGACTCGCTTTTGCTGAGCTGATTGAGAGTGTGTTTCCAGAAAAGGAAAAGTCTGTGTTTGCTGAAAGCGGAGTTCCATCTTTAAGCCATTCATAGTCCCATTCATTTGAGTCTCCATCAATTGAACACTTCAGAGTCACTTTTTCATTTGGGTAAAATGTCTTCCATTGAGAACCTATTGACAGTTTTGGTTGAGGCGGCTCTGCACAGATAAACAACACAATAATGTAAGAGAACTGGGCATTTTATTATTATTATTATTATTATTATTTACATATTCTATTGTTACATAACCAAACTGTAACCTGAATGTGTTCACACAGTGTAATGCTAGCATTATGTCTAATGTGTGTCAAAGTTAATGTCGGTATGTGTAGCTTAACAGTTTCTTAAATTCAATTAGTCTGAAATACCTTTTTAAAGCAGTTTTTCACTTTTAAAACTCACCCCCGTGTCACCCAAGATGTCCATGTCTTTCTTTCTTCAGTCGAAAAGAAATTAAGGTTTTTAATGAAAACATTCCAGCATTTTTCTCCATATAATGGACTTTACTGGTAACCAAATGGTTCAAGGTCCAAAAAACAGTTTCAGTACAAACTGTTCAAAGGGCTTTAAACAACACCAGACAATGAATAAGGGTCTTATCAAGCGAAACGATCACTCATTAAAAAAATAAAAATAACAACAAAGTTTAAGTTTTATAAGCTCAAATGGTCACCTTGCTCTGTTCTGCGATGCACGTTCGTGACTCTCCTGTTCAAACTCGTTCATCAAAATGAACAAATATTTTTTTCATGTCATTTGGTTTATTCAACGAACAAAATGAACGAATTGACTCGGAAAAAGATTTGTTCATTTTGATGAACGAGTTCGAACAGGAGAGTCACGAACGCGCATCACAGAACAGAGCAAGGCGACCATTTGAGCTTCCATCCATCCATCTTTTTCCGCTTATCCGGGGCCGGGTCGCGGGGGCAGCAGTCGAAGCAGAGATGCCCAGACTTCCCGCTCCCTAGACACTTCCTCCAGCTCTTCTGGGGGGACACCGAGGCGTTCCCCGGCCAGCCGGTAGACATAGTCCCTCCAGCGTGTCCTAAGTCTTCCCCTGGATCTCCTCCCAGTGGGACGTGCCCGGAACACCTCCCCAGGAAGAAGTCCAGGAAGCATCCGGGAACAGATGCCCGAGCCACCTCAGCTGACCCCTCTCGATGTGGAGGAGCAGCGGCTCTACTCTGAGTTCCTCCCGTGTGACTGAGCTTCTCACCCTATTTCTAAGGGATCGCCCAGCCACCCTGCGGAGAAAGCTCATTTCGGCCGCCTGTATCCGGGATCTTGTCCTTTCGGTCATGACCCAAAGCTCATGACCATAGGTGAAATTAGAAACGTAGATTGGCCGGTAAATCGAGAGCTTTGCCTTACGGCTCAGCTCCTTCTTTACCACAACAGACCGGTTCATCGACCGCATTGCTGCAGAAGCTGCACCGATCCGTCTGTCAATCTTCCGTTCCATCCTTCCCTCACTCGTGAACACAACCCCAAGATACTTAAACTCCTCCACTTGAGGAAGGATCTCTCCACCAATCTGAAGTGACCATTTGAGCTTATAAAACTTTGTTATTCATTTTTTTAAATGAGCGATCGATTCGCTTCATAAGACTCTTATTCATCGTCTGGTGTCGTTTAAAGCCCTTTGAAGCTGCACTGAAACTGTCTTTTGGACCTTGAACCATTTGGTTATCAGTAAAGTGCATTATATGGAGAAAATCCTGGAATGTTTTCGTCAAAAACCTTAATTTCTTTTCGACTGAAGAAAGAAAGACATTGATATCTTGGATGACATGGGGGTGAGTGCGGGTCTACTTTTCATCATTTCATTCATTTCCTGGGAACTTTACTAAGGCATTGCAAACTCAACGAATGTACAATGGGAAGAATATTCCACAATAGAAATGACTATAAACAGGTACATTGAGGACTCACCTTCAACTCGCAGTTGTAGAGTCTCACTATCCACTGGGAAGTCTCCTCTCTTTGCTGTGCAGTGATAGTCACCAGTGTTAGAGGGAGATACTGAGTTGATGGTGAAGGTTGAATCTCTGATCAAGTGTTTTGAGCCTTTATACCAGTCGTACTTCCATCCATCACCAGGCATGTTACAACCAAGCTGGATTTTCTCCCCAGTGTAGAAGGGCTCAAACCACTGATCTTTTCTGATGTCTGGTTTTGGTGTGTCATCTAAGAATCACAGGGGTAGAATTAGTAATGATGAACTCTCTTCAAACTATAGACCATTTTGCAAGATGTAAACAACACTAGTCCAGAAACACTTCCTGTTTCAGTTTGTAACTGTTTTCTTTATTTCACATGTAAAGAAAACATCTTAAAACTGTTTGTTTCACTTTTTGATTAAGTTTTATATATTCTGTTGGTTGTATTTTATCCCAGCTTTTAAGTAGTGTTAAAAAACTGAAACAGGAAGTGCTTCTGGACCAGTGTTGTTTACATCTTGCAAAATGGTCTATAAATGCGTTGGGTTGCATATGCTTGCTATTATTTATAATTCAAGACTAAATGAATTGACTCATACTGCTAATATTGTCCGGCCACTCTCAAGAGTAGACAGCAAACTGCAAATATTCACATGAACCACTGTACACCAATTTTGTTCATATCTATTAATCAAAGAATATCATAAGTAGTTTTACCATCAATTTGAAGTTTCAAAGCGTCTGCTTGTTTTGTAGTCACTGGTGTTCTCTCACGATGTTTTCCTCTGCAGGAATACTGTCCTGAATGACTCGCTCTTGCTGAGCTGATTGAGAGTGTGTTTCCGGAAAAGGAAATGTCCTTGATAGCTGAAAGCGGAGTTCCATCTTTAAACCATTCATAGGCCCATTCATTTGAGTCTCCATCAATTGAACACTCCAGAGTCACTTTTTCATTTGCGTAAAATGTTTTCCATTGGGAACCTATTGACAGTTTTGGTTGAGGCGGCTCTGCACAGATAAACAACACAATAATGTAAGAGAACTGGACATTTTTTTGTCAGGACATGCTGCTTTTAGCAAAACTGACAACAGATGTTTATGTGACAAATCTTACCATGAACTGTTAAAAAAAAATGTGTTTTGCTTTTTGCTGTTTTCACCGTCCTGTCCTTCAGCTCAGCTTGACACACATACTTCCCTCTATGACTGGACTTTACTGAGAGAGTGAGAGTGTTGTCTTTTATGATTGTTTCATCAGTGGGGTCTATTTTTTCAGAGTCTTGGTACCACATATACACCCAGTTTTCGGATTTAGGAATCACACACTGCAAAGACACTTTTTCACCAGGAAACGCTTCTGTCCGGTCTGACTCGACTTGTGCTTCAGGCAGATCTAAAGGAAGAGACCAAAACCAAATTTATTCTAAAACCCAAACTCTAAAACAACATTAACCAAACAGTCTACTAAAACTCTAATGACTAGTTGACATGCAGTTGCAAAGTTACGTATGAAGAGTTCAGATGCAAAAGCCTCTAAGAGCCATTTGAAATTTTCTTCTAGAATGATCATTTTTATCAAGCTTGTATACTGTATTTAAGTTCAGTGATTTTACTTAAATGGCAATGATAATTACCTATTAATTGTTATTTAAGTGAAATTACTTAACTCAAATATACAAGTTTGATAAAAATCATCATTAAAGAAGAAAATTTCAAATGGCATTTAGAGGCTTTGCATCTGAACTCTTCATATAGTTACTTGTAGTAGCACTTCCATTGAAAAATAGTGTAACCAAAATACAATACTGAATATAGACTTTATATTATGATATCCATTTACCTTCTAGAGTTACTTTGTACCCATCACTTTCTATAGACTCAGAAGATCCAGTTTTTGCCTTGCATTTATAAATTCCACCATTTGTCACATTGATTCTGGACTGATGGTCAGTTTCGAGTTTAGCAGAGTCCTTATACCAGTCGTATTGTAACTCAGATGCTCCTTTAGGGACCTCACAGTGCAGAGTGACCGTCTCTGTGCTGTACAGCACATTGTGAGTTGGGTTCAGAGAAATGGTGGGCTTTGGAATCTGAATCGTAGGCTCTAATGAATGAATAATCCTTAGGTTAGAGTAGCTGAATACCAACACTTTTTGATACAGTTGTTTAACTTAAAAATAAAGCAGTTAAATAAAATATTCCTTAAAAATTCATATGACAAACCAGAAACAACTTATAGTATCTTACCAGTGCTCTGTTGAGACGTTACTTGCACACAGACTGCCACTATAATTTAAAATAGATTCAGAGAAATGCTAGGTTACAGTATAGTGATTTCCTAGTTTTATTGGTTTCGAATATAAAGGTACCTTACCTGTCAAAAGTATTTTTTTCAATATTTCCATTTGCAGCAGTCAAAGTAAGCCTCAGCACAGACCTTGCGTGAGTCTTTGCAACAAGAAAAGCTTCCTGTTATAACCACTTTTGGTGGAAACCTGACAGGAAATCATGACGTCTTGTCTACTTCCATTTCACCTTTAAAGCTGACTAAATGTATGATATTTTGAATAACCTATTTCCTTTTTTTACTTGTAAGAAAACAATGTTAAGTGAACCTTGCGAGTGTGTGCTTATCCAAGCGTTGTGTGTTATCTGAGAGGCAGTGAGCCTGCAGTATATAACAATAACAAGATATATGATTGTGTGCAATCATGAAAAACGTTGTATATAGCATATTTAACCTCTAGAATGCACCTGTGGACAATTTAATATTATAAAATATATATTTTTTTTTAATTATGAATACTTACCAGTTCTGAAGTTCTGTTATTGTTCTGGTTTCTGTTTTAAGTATTGTGGGTGTGGTTAATTGCAGTATTGTTCAAAAAATATTGATGAATCTAGTGTTATCTGAACTTCCTTTTTTCCCCCATAGCTCTGCTGAATTTTGACATGCATTCAAATAGTATCACACAAATATCACAACAAACATTTATAGCAATGAAATACCTTTAGTTTGAAAAAGAGGAACCTAAAGAGTACCTTTCTAAAATGTGTACACATCAACAACAGATAGAGAGGAAGGACTTGAGGAACATTTAAAGAATATGATACTTGAAACTATGATGGACTGAAGTGTACTGTGCACTTTCAGCACATTTACAGCACAAATACAATGTCTTCTGCAGCATCTTAAGTTTTAAACAACAAATAAATATCGACAGTTATTATATCTGACAGAAGTTGTTATATCGGACATTTTTAAATAGTTAAAGGTGGGTTTTAAAAGTTTTAAAAGTTAACGTCACATTCAGCCAAGCCTCCTGATCTGGCATGTGGTGAACCAACATCCTGTATGCAGTCTTTAACAAAATGTATTGAGGTGGGGCTGCAACAAACCCAAAGCATTTTCTCAAAAAACAGCTCGGCAATAATATGTATAAGGGTGGTTTTCCTATATGGGTTTCAGGTCTGCAGAATGACTGAAGAAACATTATCAGCAAGATGGTTTAAAAATAAAAACTTCTTGTCTATTAACACCCACCTTACTTATAGCAATGATGGAAATACGTGCAGTTACAATAGCAAAATATGTTGGTGAGCGTTGCAATAGTGTGACAATATTGTATTGCAATTGGTAGCACATTAATGTTAATACCAAACCGAAACTAATTAGTACACCAACTGTAATTGAAAGGGCTTGATGACGATATTTTAAAAATACACTTAAAGGAGTAGTTCACTTTAAAAAAAAAAAAACTTTTGCTGATAATTTACTCACCCCCATGTCATCCAAGATGTCCATGTCTTTCTTTCTTCAGTCGAAAATAAATTAAGGTTTTTGATGAAAACATTCCAGGATTTTTCTCCATATAATGGACTTCAGTGGGAACCAAACGGTTCAAGGTCCAAAATACACTTTCAATGCAAACTGCAAACTGTTAAAAGGGCTTTAAACGATTCCAGACGATGAATAAGGGTCTTATCAAGCCAAACGATCGCTCATTAAAAAAAAAAAAAAAATAACAAATTTTAAGTTTTATAAGCTCAAATGGTTGCCTTGCTCTGTTCTGTGATGTGCGTTCGTGACTCTCCTGTTCGAACTTGTTCATCAAAATGGACAAATCTTTTCACGAGTCAATTCGTTCATTTGATTTGTTGAATGAACCAAATGGCACGAAAAAAGATTCGTTCATTTTGATAACAAGTTCGAACAGAGCAAGGCGACCATTTGAGCTTATAAAACTTTAACTTTGTTATTTTTTTTTTTAAATGAGCGATTGTTTCCCTTGATAAGACCCTTATTCATCGTCTGGAATCGTTTAAAGCCCTTTGAACAGTTTGCACTGAAACTGTCTATTGGACCTTAAACTGTTTGGCTACCAGTAAAGTGCATTATATGGAGAAAAATCCTGGAATGTTTTTATCAAAAACCTTAATTTCTTTTCGACTGAAGAAAGAAAGACGTGGATATCTTGGATGGCATGGGGGTGAGTAAAAGTGAACTACTCCTTTAAAATAGTAACACAATAGACATATGAGATAATAAAAACTTAACCATTAATCGTACCCAGCAATGCTATATGCTATATATGCTATATATAAAATGTTATCTAAGGCATAGAGAGAGAGAGAGAGAGAGAGAGAGAGAGAGAGAGAGAGAGAGAGAGAGAGAGAGAGAGAGAGAAAGAGAGAGAGAGAGAGAGAGAGAGAGAGAGGAGGCAAAGAGTGCCCCAGAAAAGTGACCGAGAGGAAAAGAAGAGAAAGAGCAACATTTACATCTATTTACATCCATTACATTTACATTTATTATCTTTTATCCTTTCCTTGACCATGTGACTGAAACCCAAAATGAGAAATTCAAACTGAGCAATCAGAAGATTACAACTTCCTCCACCATACTAAAGGTGTGACAATAACCCCCCCAACCCACCTACAACCAATGACGCATTGTTAAAGTTATTTTGATAGCTGTGGCCATATAGTTAAGGAAATGTCAACCAACATGTACAGCCAGTTCTTCCAGTAATTAGCACTTAGTACATATTTAATAGAGGTTAGTGATCTGTTGTCAATATATTCAAATAAATACATTTTAATACAAATAATAATAATTATCATTGCTGCCATTGTCTGTGCTGCAGAGTTTTCCAGTTAAAGCTTTTTTAACTGAACTAGCAGATAAGACCACAAGTCATATATTAGAAACCCTTCATGCCTCTGTTTCTAAATCTGTCATCCGGCTGGTTTATCAGAAACAGACAAATGGCAACAGCATCCGGTGCAAACCTGGGACCTTTAAATAAAATTTGACAGAATTTCACAAACAATAGGATTTTTTTTTCTTTGTTGACTGCAGCACTATATAAAATAAAAATAAAATAAGAATAAAAAAGCACAATATATTGTATATGTAATTTATGATCACATCGTTTTTGCATATCATATATAGATTATTGTAATAAGATTATTATGTCATTGGAAACACTCTCAATCACAAGGAAACCTGTTACTTACTATGCAGTTTTAAAGCTCCAATGATATCAAAATTGGTGAATGGAGAAAAAAAAAAGACTAAATGTTGGGTGGGACTTGATTTGTCTATGTGGAATAGTTTGGATGGTTGTGGTTTGCTATTGGTGGATCTCATGTGAGTGACATGTTGCCCCGCCCTCACGCCAGTATACACCTCATCAGAGAAAAGAAGCGATGTTGAGAAATGATGTTGCAAAACGGAGGGGAGGTTACTTTGATTAAAGATTAAAGGGTACATGAATAACAAAATAATCTATAATAAATACCATAATCTTTTGATTTTGATAAACTTTTTTATTTTTTCTTTGAAACTCTTTCCTTTCAGTACTTGGAAATGAAACAAGAGGTGTCAACTTGAGGTGTGTCCGGCAGTCATGATGCATTGTTTTCCGTTCTCTGCTCTCTGCCAGATCATTTTCAGTTTTAGCACACACGACCACTATCAGTCACTCTGGCCTCTTTGAGTTGAAGCGGCAGCATTCTCACAGTTTGCACAATGTTGTTCCTCATATATAACAGGAGTTACTACATACAGTATAACTGCATGTCCATGGTGGGAAAAAAAACAAAAAACAAGTATAGTTGTTATTTTTAGGTTCTATGTTTTTTTGCAATGTGACCATAATTACTGCAATAATAAATAATAATAATAATAATAATGGACAACATATGTAGTATGGTGGTATAGCAATACTTTTTGCATCAAGAGTGTGGCTGTAAATGTGGTCACCCCATCGGGAGCAGCGAGATTCGTTGATATTAATGAATCTATTTATTTATTAATTTATCTGAGGTGCCGGAACACGTTCCGGCCCACTTTAACCCTAAAGCTATTGAATACAGCATGCCTGATTGGGCACATCCTTGTCTTGTACCTCTTTGAATTTTAAAAGGACTAGATAAGGCACCAATGACTTTCAATATACTTTCAATGTCACAATAGAGCACTTTAATCATAGCAACAAACTCTGGTGGGAAATCAAATGATGTTTCATTCAGTCAAAAGCCTTTTCTTGGTCCAGAGAAATAAGACCCACCTTTTGATCAGAGTCTAGAGACTTACAAAACATCTCTAATTAACGATATGTTGTCAACTATCGATCTGTTGGGTACACAGTAAGGATGATCTGTATGGATGACCTGCCTCAATACCTCCCTCAGTCTGTTGGCCAAAGTTTTCGACAGGATTTTGTAATTGGTGCATAACAAAGACAACCTCTCTGAGGTCACCTTTCTTAGGGAGCGGAGTTAAAACTGCTCTCTTGCAACTTATTGGCAGTCGCCCTTCAGACAGACTGCTACTTAACATCAAGTCTTCTCCCAGGAAGTGCTAGTATGTCTTATAAAATTCCACAGGCAGCCCATCTAAACCTGGTGCTTTGTCATTTTTCATGCTTTACAGTGCTTTAAAAAGTTAATCTGTTGTCGAAAGATGCACCGGATCAGCACACGACTCCTCAGTTATCTGTGAAAGATCTCAAAGGAAGCGATTTGTTGACTGACTCACTCCACATTTACAAGCATACCGCTACCTGTAGGAGCTAACAGCCCTTTTCCGAATGTCAGAGTCCCTAGTCCCGTCCACAGACCGTGAACATTTAATACTCTTTTCTTTTGTTTTGGCCATTTTTCTTTTCCAGACTAAAGAATAATCAGGCGGGGGAAATACTCTTAATACCCCTTGAGCTCTAGTGTCCAACTGATCAGCTAGTGCAACTTTTTCTCCTTAAGAGTATGAGTTTGGCCTGGATCTCCATGAGCTGCACACAGCCCCTGGAGCTCTATATTTTAACGTTCCAATATCCCACCATCGCTGCATTGAAGTGAATTCGAAAAAAAGTAACAATTTACATCTTGAAACCATATGTGGTTCAATATGATTTCTGTCAATATCATAACATGTACAATTAAAGTCACCAGCAAGTATAAATATGTTTTCCATATTACACTCTTCGCTATTTCAGGAAACTATGGTTACAGTCGTCACCTGAGGCATTGCCTTTCGAGGAAACTCACGATGCGTGGTTGACGCTTTGGGAATGAGAATGCCCAAATCGCCAAACGTTCAAGTATCTAAGTGTAAGCCTGTTGTCAACTAAACACTAAGCACCTGGGACCCTGGGGCAGCATCCAGGTCCATGCTGTAAAACCTCACAAATGTGAGCGGTGAGAACCAGCCTGCCGCTTCACAAACGCCTTGGAGAGAAACCCAAATAATAAGGCTCTGACCGCCAAAGGACACGACTGGTCAGAGTATTCGTAAGCAAGTGAAATAGCCTCGACTATCCACTTGTTAACCGTCTGTTTATAAGCAGGAAGACCTTTCTTGTG